ACGCGCGATGGGTGCTTCGACTTACGAAAATTTTCGACTTACAAAAGACCCTTGGGAACAAATTAATTTCGTAAGTCGGGGTTCCACTGTATGTTAATGCAATACCACAATCTTCCCAGGAGTGGATTTCCCAGCCAATTCATCCCAAGGTCAGACCATGCAACAAAACCATCCAAAAAACAAAAGCTACATCTCAGATGCTGCAAGCCCCAGTCAGCATGTTACATTTGAAAGTTCATGAGAGTAAGATTAGAAATACAAATGAAAATGTGTGAATTTCATGCTTTCTTACAAATAATAGTCAGTCTTTGGTAATCCATACATTTAGAGATACAAACATTCACTTGCCTTCATTTGAATGTCTTGTGCCTTCCAGTTGGGACGAAGTCTGCTCAAAAGAGCCAGGATTCCTCTAGAAGGTTGGTGTTCATCAATATAGATGTCCACATGGAGAAGCTGTTTTCCAGCACAAACAAGTCCACTGTCCATTTTTACCAATGCAAATTGATTATACTTTGAAAACCGATAAGGATTAAAGTAGTAAATATGAGTTTGTGTCTAGACTTGGACCAGTTTTAGACAGTGTTAGAGAGTGTTAGCAGAGTCAAAGTTAAATCTAAACCATCAAAAAGAAAAAGAAAAAAAAAGGGTGAAAAAGCAAAAGAAAGCAAAAAGAAAAAAAATTGATGTCCACGCAAATTTCTTGATGATTAATGATTTAAAACTATCGAGTCAAGAGCAGTCACTGGTATTTGCCAGTCACTGAAGCTGTCTACTTACGTGTCCAGTTATTCAGCACTTTATCAGGGTCCAATGTTCCTGTGGGCATCTTCATCCCTTCTGCTGTAGTTTACATATTAACCACAGGTAGCTCCTGCTCTGCAGTATGCATTTGTTAAACACACGTCAATAAACCAAAGGCAAGTTTTTAAATATTAAATTCAGATTGATCAAATAAGGCTCGAATAAGATTTACTGTAAGATGTAAAATAACCACTGAATGTAAAACTGTAAAAAACACTTGAATTGAAAACTTTTAAAACATTTTTTATTTGTGACATTTCTGTCCAAATTAAGCCCAGCATATACCAAATTTAGCTCTGCTTGCAGCCAGTTTCAGCACAACCTTTGATAACCAACCTGTTTTAACATTACAATTGAACACGCAGTAAACATGGTCGCAAAATTTCCCCTGGCCTTATGCGTAATTATTTTATTGAGCTCCATACAAGCTAAGAAATAGCCAAATGCCCAAGAATAGGCAAATAATATTGCATTTGATTGTCTAAATACTTTGCAGATGTAGTACTTTTAGTTCATGTGCACCAGCAAAGACTTTAAAAGGGTTGGCTCTATTGTCTGACTGAGGTAATCATGTAATCTAGACAAGCTATGTTAAATTTCATACAATTAGTCCATTCAAACATGACCTCTCATGCTAGCTCAATGCCATGGAACATTTCAGTATGATCACTCTGTAAACACAAAATGAATTTAATAAACATTGGAGCAGCGTGTTTTCAGTCTGTTAAATTATTTAGATGTTGGGCCAATGTTTACCATTTAGCATCATTACAGTAATTGCCTAGAAGTCACGAATGTGGTGATCATCTTGAACCAAATACTTTGCAGCTTTTAGACACAAATGAAATTCGCTTGCCATCAAAGCGCATCTCATCATCAAAGATGTTATGTATTGAAAGAGAGATGAGTGACTTGATTAAAAATGTAAGGCTCAGGCTGTAGAATAGAGTAGTAGAGCCGGTGTTTCTTTTACTGGCTGTACCTCTCAAACGCAGTACAAATATGCTTTTTTTTAACGTCACAAAAAAGGTGACTTGAGTAATAACCCATACAGATACAATTATTACATTTTGTAGAAAAGTTTCTTTGACTATGTGTCTAGCTTCATTATTTTGCTGTTCCTCGCCATTAAGCCTTGAAAACTAATTATTTATGAAAGATTCAAAAAAGAATCGGGAAGTTGAAATCTTTTGACATCTTGGCATCATAAACAGTTTCACTTAAGCGATTAAAGCAATAGAACCATAGACTACTTTTTAAAATCTGGAAATAAGCAGAAGGTGAACAGTAAAACCGACTGTCACTAAAACTGTG